CCTAAGGAGCATCTCCTGTTTAGACGCTCTGCATGAGAACTCTGTTCTCCAAATCTGTCCTGATGCTTCTTTCATTTCCATTATCTGTGTTCACTCTGTGACATGCCTGCTGAGAAAGGCATCACATGAAAATAATTCTACTAATTCACAGGCATCTGCACATTGTGGTGTTTTATACTGTTTTGTGACTGTGGAAGTACTTACAGCAAACAGGAATCTGGAATAAAAGGACAAGGGTATTCAACTAGAAGAGAGGGATGAATTCTCTGCTTTTTACCCAGCGTTTTTCATCTCTCATCATTACTTTTGTGGAATAATAACTTGTGTTGTGCCGTATAAGAAGTACTTAGAGCACAGGTTCATAGTCAGGAGGTCCAGGTTCTGCTAAAGTAATTTCTGACTTTACCTGTGGTCTTGAGCCAAGTTATTTATGTTATTTAATGGTCTGTTTCTTTATCTGTGTGTGTGGGGAGAAAGACGCTCCTTAACAGTACTGAAAAGCTGGTAACACCTCTGAATGCCTTTGGAATAAATCGCAAAAAGAAGCAGTGTTAGATTTTACTGGTCTAATGTCAGTTATCTAGAATTATGTTACAAATACCTTCATGCGTCAAGGTTAGCTTAGTAGATGGTATATTGCTACAGCACGTTATTTTCTTGAAGTTTATAAGATTTATTGTTTCACTGTAGGGAAATCCTGTCTCAGCATATAGTAAAGATGTTAATAAAAGCTGTCATACAATAATGAACTTAACAGTGAGGGAAATGGGAACGGAGGGACAGGGAAAAGATTAGTTTCCCCTACTGTACCACATTATTACCCTGGAAAGCTTTAGCACTTTCCCTAACTTGATGGTAAAACTTTAAGATCGGAGGGTAGTTGAATTCTGACTATATTTACTCTAAGTTGGAGCAGCAATGCTGATGCTCCTTGTATACTTGCTTGATGCTTATTTATTTCAGTTAATTATTGCAAGTTTTAATACATGAACAGGCCTTCGGAACAATACATTTTTCTTGAGGTCTCTTGTACCAAAGAAAAGCTTAAGGTCACTAGGGAAAAAATTACGTAGTTAAAGAGCGAGCAAGTGTACTCAGTAGGTCTAGTCTAATAATATAAACTACATTTATCACGTTCGTTTTAATCACTGAAAGACGTATTTGGCAGCTATTTCTATGCAGTAGTGGATCACCTCCTTAACACGTAAACATAAAACACTGTAGAGTGAATAGCTTTTATATATTCGTAACATTCACCAAATACAATCGGCATATTCCTCTGTTGCACCCCACAATACCGTTTTAATGTATCAAATTAAAATTATGCAATAACTTACTGCAGTAAATAACTCGTATTCCATGAAATATACACCTGATGGGAAAGAAGACACCGCGCTGCAGGAATCTTTGTTGTACCCAGGGGTTCAGAGCTGCTGGTCGGGGCCAGTGTCGGGTGAACAGAGCTTTGTAACCCTTGACAGAAAGGGGTAAATCCAGCTTTTTGTGCTCAGTTCTCAGTCAGGTCAGTGCTGGTCATAAGAAATTTTTAATTTTTTTCAGTGGAAACTAGCTTTATTTCATTGTTTGTTCTGGTTTCACATCTTAATAGAGAAAGAGCTCTGCACTGGATGAAGAGAGTTAGAGAAAACCCCAGCCTTGTGATGGTCACGTGTTTTTAACAATATCATTTTCTGGGAGTATTTCAGTATATTTTCCTTTATCCAGGCATTCAGAATGATATATGCTTTTGTCAAGTAGCTGGGAGGGGGCTTAACTATTGCAATAAAAGGTATGAGAATTTATATTCATTTGGGAGTCTTTGAAATGATCCTTCATGTGATGACTTGGAGTAGAAACTGGGAATTTTAAACTTGTCTTGAAAGGATTAATTGAGCATTTAAGCTCTTAATACAGTTTATCAGGAAGAAGCAGAAGCAATCCTGCTGGTGTCCTACCTGCAGCCTATGCTGTCACTTCATAATTACCCAGAATTCAGCAATATCTGTAGAAACACAGGTTGATTTTACATAATGGATGTCTCACTGCAAAGGCAAACAGCTCTGCTTTGCCAGTGCATCTTGGAGTTTCTCCTGATGTCAGGAAAACTGAGGGACTGGGACACAGAGATATCTGTGTTGTTACAATTTTTGTGTGACTTTTAACCAAATTGATTTGGCTTATGTAAAATTCAATAATAAGTTCTGTTCTGTAGAATTGGAGATTATTTGTTGAAGGAAGAGCTTGCATTTGGTGGAAAACGAAGGCCCTTCTTATTTAATACTTTCGGCTTTCCACTATTCTATTGCAAATAACACAAGCTAAACATAACATTAATACATAAGCATCCAACCACTACAATTGTGAAAATTCTGGTTTTTTTTTTTGTTGTTTTTTTTTTTTTCTGAAAATTCTGGGGTTTTTTTTTGTTTTTTTGTTTTTTTGTTTTTTTTTTTTTGTGGTTGGACTCGATGATCTCTGAGGTCCCTTCCAACCACTACAATTCTGAAAATTCTGAAATTCTGAAAATGCTTTGGTTTGTTTTTTTCATTTGAAGAAAACAAACTCCTTGGGTTTTTAATAGAAACTGATTATTTAACTTAAAGAAAACTTCCCATAACAACCAGTAAATGTATGAAAGGAAGGATGTTTTTATTGAGTGGCATCAAATTAGGATTTTCTGCTAGATTTTTAACAAACTTGTTTAGCAATACTATCTGAGATATGGCCTTTTCATAATTAATCTGTTAATTCTGCTTTGATCATGAAGGACAACCCTTCATTATTATTTTTTTTAATCTATCCTGGGTTCTCGAAGTTTGATGTACTAATAGTAGGTTACTTTGCTTTCTTCGTTACCACGTGCTGAGTAGAATGTACTTGCCAAATCCTCTTTAAACATTGCTCATACATTTATACTGCAGTTATTCTTGCTACCTTATCTTTATAGCTTTGCAATCCTGTCTGGTGCACCGTGCACACCATGCTTATGCGTACACAGTTTCTATTGACATGATGAGCACGTGTAACGTTGGGAAGAATTTGAGCAATCTGCATGCCATCAGTGGCTCTGTAATGTATGTGTGGTACACCATAAAATAATACATGGCCACTAGACTTTCATTGTAATCAAATCACAATAATAATAAAAACCACAAAAGTCTTAAATAGGAGTCTTGCTTGTGCTTTCACGTAAGCATGAAAATACTAAGTCTGGGTAAATGCAGGGAAGACAGTCTTTTCCCTGATTAATTGCCACTCTAACAGCAATTCTGGCTGATAAGTGATTCAAGGCAGAATTATTTTTATGCAGTCCTCATTTTGCTTACAATGTTGATTTCATGGTTCTGATGAGGGATGTTACAAAGGTTTATCATCTCCTACTTGTACAACTGAGCTGATTATCTCAGTTTCAAGAACAGACTATTCTCTTTGTTTTCTTTTGGGGGGGGCTAGAAATGTTGTTGTACAGTATCTATTTGTATTTATTAGTTTCCTCCCTCCTGTTGCTTAAAGCAGCCGATTTAGAGCTAGTTATGATAAACAGGGAGACTTAAGCCTTCGTTTCTGTAGAAGTTTACTTATTTTACTTTTTTACTTTTCCAAAGACTTCCAAGTTTTTCCACTTGAAGTAGTGAAGGGTCATAATTACATTTGAGACATCGCCAATAGCTTCTTCAGATTTGATGAATGGTCTCTTCTTTTTTCTGATGAAGTTCACATATTTTTTTTATGATGGAGACACTCTACATGATTTCTTACTTTCTTTTTGTGATTGCTTTTCTGTTCTGCATCATTTAAGTATCATCAAATTGACCAAAACGTTTCAGACAACTTCATGATGTTCTTGAGATTAAAATGCTCTTCAGTGACAGTATAAGCCATATGTATCAGTTGTCCTCATAATGATGATGTTTTTCTTATTAAAACAGAAAAAATGCTATGTGATGTCATTGGTATTTTTATAGATTTGAATTACATGCGCTATTTGGAGGATGCCTTTTTTTTTTTTTAACTGGCTATTGAATATATTTCAGAAATTTCTCTTAAGAAAGTTAAGGTTCATGTAGCTTGTGCTATGCAGGGACTGTCTGTCTTTCGTTAGAAGTTGAAGTAAACTTAGTCAAAAATTAAAAAGTTAAAAAGTAATTTTTAATTTTCTGGGCTTTAGGCCCCATAAATGTACAACTGTGATAGTTCAGTGCCCTTCATTGTAGTTCTTTGACCATCTCTGAAGTATCATTAGGAGATCTGGTCATGTGCTCATAATGTGGCAAATTCTTGCATTATATAATCTTTGTTTTGTTAAAACATGGACTTAGGGAAACAGTGTTTATTAAAAGAAATTGCTGGGTTTGTGTTCCTGATTTTTGTTTTGTTTTGCTATGCCAGAGAAGTTAACTGGACTTTATTAAATATTTCTTCTGTCACTGTACTTTATAGCACTTCTTCAGGCATCTCCTGAAATATTTACTTTCTCCTTCCCTTTAAGGCAATATTTTCAGCAAACACTAATTCAGCATTGAAATAGAGCACACTTCTGATTAGTATATTATTATTTATTACAGGTACTTATTAATAAATTTCTGTACTTCCTTTGCATCTGCCTCATCCTCAGATATTTGTACATGTATATGATGTACCTCTACCTCATAATCAGATACTCATACTCTTACAAAAGATGTAATGTATAAATGTCTGGAAGAAACAGGCACAGAAACATTTCTGTAGACATTTAACTAAGTTCTTGCTTTTTCACTTGCATCAATACCTACCTCATTAAAACCCATGATGATGTCTGACATCATCCAAGTTCTGGATGAGTACTTCCCCCTTTAAAGCTCAGTTCTCCCAAGTTGTTCAGTATTTTTTCTCTGATTTTTTTTTTTTTTTTACCATAATCATAACCATTTTTCATCTTGCAGCTTATGGAGACATTATGAAATCAGAGGAATTCTATATTGCAAATGTTCATGTGTTTTGTTTTTGGTTTTTTTTCACAGAGTTTTTGAAGATGTCAGGAGATATACCTTTAAATATTAATATCAAGGAGCCCCGATGGGATCAAAGCACTTTTGTTGGACGAGCCAGTCACTTCTTTACTGTAACAGACCCCCGGAATATTTTGTTATCTAATGCCCAGCTGGAAAATGCAAGAAAAATTGTGCATGATTACAGGTAAGGCATTGATCACTTCTATTGCCAGCCCAAAAAAATCCATGTCAATGATAAGTACATAGTTGTACATTTAGAAGGAAGTATTTTAGACACTGTATTCATTGCACCACTCTTTCTTATTTTAGAGCTTGAAACACTTTATTTAAAAAAACAAATTTGCTAATGAATGGGGAAATTGTCATCTGAAAACCCCTATTAAGTATTCTGAAATACAGACATGTCTAATTCTGAAAACAGTTAATACAACAACAGGGTTTAAAGCTTCCTCTTATGTGTTATATTGTTTGGAGCAAGTACTTTCTTAAATACTTCCAAAGTAAATTTTCAGTGTTTCATGCTAATGACTGCAGAGATTTTAGCTCTAAAATCTAGTAATGGTTTGAGTAAATAGAAATTTGGTGCTGGATATATCGACTCAGCCAACGTAACCACTGCTGGGAGTTTTGCTTCTTTTAATTTCACCAGTTCATTTAAAAGCTGAAGATCTACAAGCTAATTATGAGGCAAAATTAATTTTGTATGAACATCCTAAAATCCTCTGATGCTACATTTCTCACTGGAGGTTGCAACATTTCCTAACAGTTGTGCTTTTTTGCTGTTGTCTTGTTTTGTTGTTTAACCTGTCTGAAGACAAGGTATCGTGGCACCTGGCTTGACAGTAGATGACTTGTGGAGAGCAAAATATATCTATGATTCAGCCTTTCACCCAGACACTGGTGAAAAGATGGTCTTGATTGGCCGAATGTCAGCTCAGGTCCCCATGAACATGACTATCACAGGTTGTATGATGACCTTTTATAGGTAAGTCATGGCAATATAACACATAAAATATTTGCTTACAAATTAGATAAGTAAAAATCGATGTTACTGTCAAAAGAGCATTTTAGAAGATTTATAATGAATTTTTTACATGTAAAATTTTGCTTCCTTTTATCTCTCTGCATTCCCTCACACTGATTAATGGTTTCCTCTAGAAGTAGTTGTGAGATAGCCCCTCTCCTTCACCATCCCGCTTATCCTTAGACTGGGAAAGTTGAATGTGCCAAAATCCCATCCTTGTGGGAGAATTGTGTGGAGGACAAAGAGGAGATACCTGGGAATTTCTGACCTTAGAGATCTGGCATGTAGGATTTTCTGTCTGCCAAGTGAGTACTCAGTTTGCTTTGGTCCATCACTCATCGAGTTTCTCCAGCTCCTGTTTGATCCTTCCGTTTCCTCAACAGTTCTTGAGTCACCAGTTCAGTGAAGTGAAGTCCACGGCAGAAGCCAGTATCATCTGTTAGTAAACTCCGTGTTAGAGATGTTTTTGTGACACAATGCTTTATTAGCAAGAAATGGTGGGAGGTTCAGAGGAAATAACAATAGCGCTTTTGATGCTGAGATTTTACAGGTTCTTGACTCACACTCCAGAAAGGCACAGCCATTTTGAATGGTGCATATATACCTGTGAGTTTAAAAAACAGCTGAGCATATGAATAAAACCACCAGTACAGCTGCCCACTCACAACTACTGCTTCCTCTTAACTCTTTTATGCATGTTCTGTTATTATCTATGATACTTAAAGCAGGTATAAACCTTTTCTTTGCATTATTGGTAGAGTCACTTAGCTTCAGAAGTGGTTTATTAGTCTGAAAGGCACTGGTTTCTTTGGACCAAACCCTCAGCAGTGCAGACAGGATTACGTAGAGATCCTTGGATGATGGACTCCATCTTACTGCATGTCACTGTGTGCTGGTTATTGCTGACCACTGCAAGAAGCAAATTCCTTGTTATGCGTATGAGGACTCTTGGGCGTGCAGCAAGGCAATGTGAGTCATGCTTGAACTTTAGAGCAGACCAAAATCCTCCACGTAGCAGTAGCAAGAAAAAGGAAAAGGTGTCAGGAAAAAGAGTTGCAGAGGCACAGGAAGAAAGGAGGAAGAACAGTAGTAATGACAGAAAAAATTCAGCTTGTTCAGATACTGAAAACCAGAGGGAATAAGAATACACTTTAAAATCTCCTGAATCTTTCCAGTTTTTGCATTTTAAATAAGCAAATTCCTTGTTATGCGTATGAGGACTCTTGGGCGTGCAGCAAGGCAATGTGAGTCATGCTTGAACTTTAGAGCAGACCAAAATCCTCCACGTAGCAGTAGCAAGAAAAAGGAAAAGGTGTCAGGAAAAAGAGTTGCAGAGGCACAGGAAGAAAGGAGGAAGAACAGTAGTAATGACAGAAAAAATTCAGCTTGTTCAGATACTGAAAACCAGAGGGAATAAGAATACACTTTAAAATCTCCTGAATCTTTCCAGTTTTTGCAATTTAAAGAAATAACATATCATCAGATTTCATATTTTTAGAATTTTTTTTTTAAATCATCAGATTTCATATTTTTAGAATTTTTTTCATATTTCAGAACCAAAGCCTCATGATACACACACACACACCTTCTACTCTAGTGTCTCCTCTTTGCTTTCCCACCTGTTACAGAATAATTGGTACAACTACTGCTTCTTCTTTAACACTCTTAATTTCCAATTCAGCCCTCCAATGAGGACCGCATTCCTCTTACCATTACTGACTGTGTTAGTAAATAATTTTATTGTGTATAAGCTTTATTAAAGTCCTATGAAAACTACGAAAAGTTATTTTAATGGTCAGGAAATAGTTTGGAGTAGCAGCTGTTATTTTTGGTGGCCTGGTTCCCCCGCCTGGAATTCTGGTGGAGCAGAATCTTCAGTGGTGTCTCCACTGGGGGCAGAGTTTTCCCCTGGTGTACTCTCCTAGCCTCCAACTATTTATGGTTCCTGATCCAGAGGTACTGTTTTATTTAACGACCCTTAGTGGATTTCTTTTTCATAAGTCTATCCCGTTGTTTATATATGCTACTAGTTTGACAGCAAAAGCATTCATCCCTCCACAAGACAGCCCTGTGCATTGTGAAACAAATTGACTGTCACTTTTGTTGTTTCTCAGCATAACCATTTATAAAATAATTATATCTGCAGTTTAACAGGGAACACATTAGCTTGTTAAATAGGGACTCTGCAAATTGTACAGAATATAATTTTCACTGCCCCCTCCCCCATGCTCACAAGCTAGCAGCTTTTTGTCCTAAGGCATGTGCATACTGGCACTGACATAATTTATGAGGATTCCTTGGAGCTCTTTTGGGTTTTTTTGATGATTGGTCACCTGGTTGATGCCGTACTGAACCAGATTAATTTCTGTGTTGTACCTGTACTACGTAAACATGCATAGATTTTCCTGAAAATAATTCTTCATTTTGGAGTTGTGTTTTTTTTATCTGGTTCTACATGCAGCTGAATGTTTTAATGTCTTAGAGATTTATTAAAACAATGGCATCATGTTAGCTTTTTGAAGACTGATAGGCCCTGTCTCCCAAAATCCACCTCTCAGTCACTTATGGAGCTTCCAAAGAGAACTAGAAGACTCTGTAATAGTAATGGCCTTGGAAAAATATACTAGAAATTAGAGATTTTCATATTTCGCTGTGTGTTTTTTATAGAGAGTTTTGCTATAATGCTTTTGTTATTACAACAAACCTTTGTCCCAAGTGAACCTTGCTATTTAATTACAATGCTTTTAAATTCTATTCTTGAAATAGCTTGTACTTTCATTATTAAGACAGTATCTCATTGACTGTATTGTTTTATCCAGATAAATAAGAATAAATCTGCATTATTACTGCTTGCACTGTCTTTTCTTGCATTGCCATCATTTTTCTGTGCTGTTGATTGCTGTATTTTTAATAATAATTATTATTCCTCTTTTCAAGAACGACACCAGCGGTGGTTTTCTGGCAGTGGATTAACCAGTCCTTCAATGCTATAGTAAATTACACAAACAGGAGCGGTGATGCCCCGATTACTGTCAGGTCAGACACGGAACCAGATACTTCTGAAGCATTTATAAGTTGTTTTCTGATGTACTGAAACATGGCTGGGCTTTAAAGTTTGATGTGATAGAGGGATAACTTTCTTCATCTTTGCTTATTAATTTGATATGCGCAGACGAGAAGTCTGAGAACGATGGAGGCGAGAACTCTATTTCTTCTGTTAAAGATAAGCCTGAGCACCTTGATGATAAGCACTTAACAGCGTAGGATTTAATAGGAGTCTGCATTGCCTTGCTCAGTCAACCATTTGAAAGTGCTTCATCAGTTTAGTGTTATTCGAGGGTATTTCTTAGTTCATATTTTGTGTGGACCTTCAGGTGTCTTTCTGTGTTCCCTTCTTCTCTGTACCCTGCGGTAGAGCACACACCACACTGTGTGCTTATTTACAGAAAGGACCCTTCAGGGAACTGGTCTACACAGTACTTGTCTCTACTTGAGGGCAAAGAGAGAGATTAAATAGATGCAGAAGACTAGAAATCATGAATAGGAGACTGGAATTGCAGTGCTTGACTTTCTGGTTATGAGGCTGGCTTGTAAATGTCAGGGAGAAAGCAGTGGGATTCAAGGATGTAAGGCTGAGAAGTCTGCAAAGCATGATTTAGGGCAGTTTGGGGTGGATTTGGGTGTTTGCAGTATAGCTGGTCTGCCTGAATGGGCTTCACTACAGTTGAATTTAATTACTATTGTAGACATGGCCTTAGAAATCCAAACTGATTTTATTAGTTTAAGCAGTTAGGAAATTACATGCAGAACAAAACCCTTCAAGGTGTTCAAGCAGACACCTTGAGAAAGTGCTGAACAGATAGCAATGCAGAACCAGCAGAACCTGATTCAATGTTCAAATGCTGCTTGCTTGTGATTTTTACTGCCAATGAAAGAAAAGTGTCTAATTTAGTGTCGCATTTGAATCTTCCAGCCACATCTTACTGCAGTGTCACAGAAAGGTCTACCTCTTAACTTTCCAGGGCGGGGGAGGGCATAACTGTGTGTGTAAACTGTGATTATTTTAAAAAGTGATACAGTTATTGTGCATGTACAAATGCCTGTATTTTTGTTTTAGCCAGCTGGGAACAGCCTATGTTTCTGCTACCACGGGTGCTGTTGCAACAGCTTTAGGACTTAATGCCCTAACAAAGGTATTGCTGCTATTTTTCCCCATTCTTAAGTAGAATTTGGTGTTCTATGAGATGCTAATGGCTCATTTCTCCTCCTGTGTATCTGTGTTATGTTATGCACAGCTCCCAGTATGGAGTGTAATGGCCATTGGCAGCTCCCTTCTTTAGATCCCAACCTTATTTTTGCCCCATGGAGATGGTTTTGTATGTATTTCAAACAGTCTGTCCTCCTTATATGTATATCAAACAGCCCTGTGTTTTTTTTAATATGAACTGTATCTAATAAGGTGTCTTTTTTGTTGTTTTTGTTTTGACATATTGAAGTTCCTGGAGGTACTTTATAGACATAGTGCTTAGAGACATGGGTTAGTGATGGGTTTTATCAGAGTTAGGTTGATGGTTGGACTAGATGATCTTAAAGGTCCCTTCCAACTCAGACAATTCTATGATTCTATCTAATGGCATTTGAGAGTTAATTGGAGTGGGTGTGTAGTTACAACAATGTGGACTCATTATCCCCAAAACTGTATAGGTGTGTTTTTAGGGTGCAGCATCACTTCTGCAAATGTGGATGCCTACTCCAGGCTGGCTGAAGAACCCATAAAGGGGTGCCGCTCCTAATTGTAGAAAACTCAAATTCCTTAAGGAAGTGCACAACACAATCAAGGAAAAAAGGTCCTTTATTGAAAAAAAAAAATAGTAACACTGTATTTTGTACGCCTTTGCTTATGCCTTGTGTACTAGGAGTGTTACAGCATTGACGAGGTATTTGAGAGATTGTTCTAAACAGAGTAATTCAGATTAGACAAGGCACTGAAGAGGTGAATTGCCTCCATAGTGAGTGCCCTTAGGTGCCAAGCAGCTGGTGAGGGTGTTGCTGGGTGTCACCTTGCCAGTGAAGACAGGGAAGTTAAGGGCTATTTATGGGCAAACAGGCACACTCAGAAGCTGATGCTTCACTGCAGTGATGCTACTAAATTAAGGTCGGTTTTGCCAATCTCCTACTGCTACTTACTCTGAGAGAAGAGTTATGAATTATGTCACATTTGTTTGTTGTTTTACCTCTGCCCCACCAGTGAGTTTTCACTAAATTTTAATTTAAAGGAAATAAGTCTGGTCTGTCATTAGCACATGAAGCATTTTAATGTGACCTTTGGGAAATAAAATTATTATGTAATTCTATTTCTTTTTTTTTCCCTCTGTTTTTTACAGCATGTCTCACCTCTTATAGGACGGTTTGTTCCTTTTGCTGCTGTTGCTGCTGCTAACTGCATTAATATTCCACTAATGAGACAGAGGTAGGAAAAAGAACAAAGATCACTCATTCTAGAAGAAAGGGTGTTATTAAGTTTTTAGATCAGCAAGTTACTAAATAAAGCGCATGATATGCCTTTAGCTTGGTCCAGAACCTTGCAAAAACTTCATGCGTGATCTTGTTTTGATTGATTGATCGTGACAGGTATAAAATAGAACATCCTCATTCTCTTCAGGTAAATATCAATAGAGTTCTTCAGTCTTAAGTCTCAGAAAGCAAGTATCGGTCCTTCAATCACATGGACCCTTTAAATACAAACTCCACTTTGGAAAAATACAGTCATTTCAAAAATGGTGCTTCAAATCCCACATACAGAAGTTAGTCATAGAAGTCAGGCTCTGCAGTTCTGTTTAATCATCTGAGATTACAAAAATTCGCACTTCCTCAGAAACAAAATTTCATATATATTCTGATTTGACTAGGACTAAGAATAGAAATGGGGAAAAACAAATTAAAAGCATCCTTTTATAAACACAAGGTTTTGGGAAAAAAAGTGAATATTTAAAGTTTATATTCATGATGAGGTGGGAGTATTTTCTCTCTTGTAAAAGATGGGCAGTCCTCAGTATATCTGCCCTTCTGTCCTCTTCTCACTCCCCTAGACCTTCTCCCCAGTACATGAGTTTAACACCTAATCCCACACTTGACTAATACATCACAGAAATATAGTTTGCTTTGTGCATACTTTTATACTTCTAAATATGTTCTTAGTGGTTGAAATGAAAAATCAGACTAGAATGCCAGAAGTGTCTTATAAATGTAAATTCAGTTAAACTAATCTCCCTGTATTCCCTGTGTTGTCTGTCGGAAAGGACAGACTCATTCCAGAGCAGTCCAGAAAATTCCACTTTTCTGAACTGCTTTTGAAGGAGCCTCTCCCTTCTGTTGACTACAGAAATAATGCATCTCCTTTCTTCCTCCTTGGAACACATGTGACCAGGCTCAAGCAGATTTCTGTTACAAATATTCAGTTGTTTACTTTTTAGCATATTTTTCCCCAGATCTTTCTTTGCCTTCTGAAATTTTTGTGCCAGTGAGAGTTACAAACAGGCTAACTTGGAAAACAAAATAAAACCATTAATTCTAATAACTGACAATTTTAAAGTGACAAATATAAGGTGACAAAAAAAGGTGAATAAATGCATGTCAGTCACTGCTTTATTTTTATCCCTTATTCGACAGGGAACTCAAGTTTGGAATCCCCGTCACGGATGAGAACGGAAACAGACTGGGTGAATCAACAAAAGCAGCTCAGCAGGCAATTACCCAGGTGGTTATATCAAGGATTCTCATGGCTGCTCCTGGCATGGGTAAGAATAACTCAGTCATGTGCAGGTTCCTAATGTATGAGAGAGTTTGAATTCTATATAAGGGATTTTTCTCAGAGGCCAAATTATCTTACAGTTATTCCGGCAGTATTTACATTTCTGTTAAGAAGTTCCAGAGAGAAATGTACATTTCTTACTGTGAAGACATCCACAGAGTGTTACGCTGAAGTGCAGCAGAAAAGCTCCTGGGATGCTTTTGCAGAAAGGACACAGATAGCAAAGGAAGGGTGGCAAATTCTGCTTGAGGGTAATTAGTTTAGTGAAGAGTAGGTGCTCTGACCAGTGCCAAGTTACTGAGCTCAGGTTTAGTTATGTGTGAAATTAGAAATTTTACTTATTGGGAGAATTTACCTCTGTAAATACCAATCCAGTGTCTTGAATTGGCGATGTGAAATGAAAGCTCATTTAATGACAAAGGGCTGTGAAAATTGTATTACAGTATTAGTTCATCTTAACATAAACTTAAAGTGCCTTTTTCTTTAATGCTTTTTTTTTTTTCTCATTTGCAGCAATTCCTCCCTTCATAATGAATACATTGGAAAAGAAAGCCTTTTTAAAGGTTAGTCTTAGATAATATGTGTATATGCATTTTGTATCCTAAGTTAATATTTTAATGAATTTAAAATACTTTCTGACTCTTCATATTTGCCTCCCAAACTCTGGGAGGACATCTCTGCAGAGCTTGCTTTACAGCTGTCACTTTCTTTATGCCTTTCTTAGACAGAGAGAGCTTGGTTCTTTTTATCACAGTGTAAAATAACATTAAGAAAATACTTTTTTTGTTGTTATTTTCATAATTGTTCTTAAAATGCAGAGTTCCTCCTAGTAAATAAACCTTCCTTGTACTGAGAGTTGGAATACAGTTTATTAGAAAAAGACTGAAGATTTTAATGCCTTTTTTCTCAAGATATCAACAAAGAGGCTTTGCTTACCTGCTGTAGTAGCAATTTCACTTTGGAAACAGCAGGGATGGTAAAAATCTCTTTTGAAAATGATCCTTCAAAATTTACTGGATGAGCAAGTGCGGGAGAGGCACAGACTGGGTGCACTTCGTCAAAGATTACATATTTGCTATATTCTGTTCATGCTGAAGTAGTGTCAAATCAAACATGTAGTTTTAGTAAATATATAAATTAAATTAACGTTATGTACCATGTGTACATGGGGTGGTAAAGAGCAGTAATTAAATTAATTATGAGGTTGTCTAACACAAGAGAAATAATTTGCAGATAAGGAACTATAACTTCTTTACTAGTAAAGGGAGTTTCATCTTCACCAGTTGATCTACTTACTTGTATAGCTCCGGGCAAAGTCTCTGCCTGTGAAACACCAGATAAGCTGGGAACAGCAGCCTCAGAGATTCCATCTCCTTCCTGTTAGGAAAAGAAAGTGTGGTCTGAGCCCTTGGAGAAGTGGTTTGGGTGGGGACTGGGAGGGCAAGCTGGGGAAGTTGGTTATTTTTGGTTTGTTTAAGATAAAGTTTTCTAAAACATTTAAATTCTATTTCTTATTAATTGTGCACTTCATTTTTCTTGTGCAGAGTTAAGCTACCCACTTAACATACATCATTGGAAAGTGCTCCTGTATTAGTATATAAAAGATGCTTTGGGAAGAGGTCCCAACTGTCTTCCAGTTTTTAAAACTTTTTTTTTTTCCTGAAGTGCTTTGCTTTTTTCCTCCCCTTGTTAAGAGAAAACACCATGGCTTAGAATGTAAAAATGGGAAAAATGGTGTTTGAGTTTTAGAATAAAAGTCAGTGTGTGCTGCTTATATTTCCTGAAAGAAGTGAGAGAGCAGTGCATCCAAATACACTGCCTGCAGCATGAAGAGCCCTTTACTGATGTGGCAAATTCTTAATTGCTGGTGTCTTTTGACCCATACCCTGTTTGCACAGTAGCTTTAAGCAGGTTGTCATACTGTTAGGTTCTTGATAATCTATTACTTTGGAACATTAACTCTTGTTTATAAAAAAAGAAACAAACTTGTAAATTTTGAACAAATATGATTTTGTATGTGTTTGACCTGGGAGAAATGTCACAAATGCTGTCAACTGGCAAATACATGACATTTGTGACAAAGTTGCAGCAATTCTCAGGGTTTGGAGACAAGTATCTATTGTTTTTGTGTGGTATAATGAATGTAAGGGTGTTGTGAATTTTTCAGATCAGCAAAAATGAGCGATTTCTTCAGTGACTACTCAGTGGTCTTTGGTACCATCATGACCGTTTATGCTCACCTGTTCCTCCCCCTCAGCCTCAAAGACTGTGAGTTGAGGTGAAACACTGCTGTGCAGGTAGTCAGTGGTAACACGTGGTAGAGATTAGTATTAAAACCATTAAGGAATGAGCTGCATTTTTAACAAGCAGCTTCTGCATGTTCTCTTGAGGTTTCCGAAGCACCATCCCATTTGCGGTACTCCGACACCATCCACACAACGCTTTACTAACTCATTTTTTCTTAGCCTTTGCTTTGCACACCATCACTCTTGAAAATAATTCTTGTACGCTTGCCAAAGCCTATTAAGCAACACACAGGGCCAGAAAGTAGTGAAATGGTTGAGAAATAATGAAGAAAATAGAATGATGTTCTTCAGTAAAATAAAGAGAAAGAAATGCTTCTGGAATGCTGGCCTCAGTAATAGCAGACTATCATCCTCTGATACTTGAAATAAGATGTCTGTTATAGGGCAGTATTCATCCTCCATGTTCTGACATTGTTTTCCATTAGGACATTTTGATGGTAATGTTAGTATGAATTAACAATATTCCCAAAAGCTATTGCTAGAAAATGACTTGAGATTGTTTTTAGAACACAAGCACATACTTGCTGCTTCAATAAGAATCAACGTATTTATTGTCTTGAAAATATATATATATTTTTTTTAATATACATAGGCATGCTTTTGCTATAGTTTTCAGCATTGGCCTTGGTGGCCTCTTCTGCGATTACGCAGTGTAATAGTTGTTGACGGGGCTGTACAATGTCTACATCCGTTATCTCTGCTGACATACACGTGACTAGTTCTGTGTGGAACCAAGCTGGTTTATCTGCTACAGCAGAAGGACCCCATAAACAGCCTTGCTGTGAGGCACAGTGTTTGTAGATTTATTTTAGTTACAGATACCTTCTCCTAAGGAAATAAATTGGGTTTTTCTGTAGAAACTTCTGAAAATTCCAGTCGACACTGAAGTTTTAATTTATACTCTTAACAGCTTCAGCTACTGTTTCTCTACTTTTCTACATACTGCATTAACATTCTAGTTGATTCCAGAAATTTCCTCATACATCCTTAAAACAAGCTCCTTGAGATCTCTTAGCCTGCAACTAAAATACACATTCAAAACTGTTACAAAACCAGAATAGAGAGGCTTGGTTGTTGTTTTTTAAAGCATCATTCTTGAATGTCTTACGTCTTAGAGTCTTCCATGCATTCCTAATTTAACTGTCGTTTCATTTATTCATTTTTTTTGGAAACAGGCATAGCTAGCCTCGGAAAGCTGGCAGATTTTGAGATCCAACAATGAAAGGAAGCAGTTAGAAAAAAGCTGATCCTCCTTATGGCTTTTGTTTGCTTAATTATCATTTCTCCATTTTCTCTGTTTGCACTAACCACTAAAGACGCCATAAAGACATCTGGAAGTTAAATCCTAATTCATTGGGAACTGCCTTCTTCCGGAGTTAAACGATAGATCTCTAACACAGTAAATTCTTCTGCTGTCTTGTACTTTTCCATTTTATTTCTTTGCAGGGATGTACCGCCTGCATTTGAGTTTTGCTTTATTGTTTTACATTGTTCCCTGGGCAACTCCAATTCCTCATATTGACTTCCAGCCTTAAGAGTTTTACCTCACCATCTTTCTTGACTAGTGCAGCCTGGGAACATTCTTGAAAAATAAAGGCTGTAACTCAGATCAAGTACCTTTGCAAAAACTGTTCCACCACATGAAATAGATGTCTACCAGTACAGATAATATAAACAACACTTTGCTCTTTCTCTCTCTCTCTGTCTCAGATTAATCACCAACTCGCATAAAGGCATGAAACTGTCTATTACTCTCATGATACCCTCCAACAGTCTTTCAGTTATAAAATCATATTTGGGGCTTTTCTGTTATGTATGTGGGGTCCCACGGTCACACTGCAGTGTGTAGCATCAGTTCCCCTTAATTCTCATCAGAGACAGGAGTCATTTGCAGAGTCTGACCTGTGTTCCCAAATACATGTGATATTTATGAGTGCCACCGTCCTACATCCCTTCCACTGTCAGTCACACCAGCTCTTGTCGTGAACTCTCCCCGTGTATAAAATGTAAAGCCTTTTGAGTGAACTTACCTCAGCTGAGGGTCAAATGAAGCTGTGTTTATTGGAATGCCAGAACAGCGAAGCGCTGCTGCATTCACTCTTTATCCTTCTTGCTGTTGCTCTCTTTTTCCGTTTGTTATCTCTTGTTGCAGGTGATTGGTGAATTGCACAGTTCTTCCTACACTCATTTCTGGATTGCAGATTGACTCCAGGAAAAGAAAAAAAAACAATAGAGGAGCAATCTTCTACATCATTTCTTCCCCTTCAGGCTCTGAAGAAGTTTAATCTACACACGCTTGTTTTCCATGGTTCTTACGCTGCTGTGACCTTCCTTAGCACAAAGCTTTGTCCTACTGAGCTTTCAAATTTTCCTTTTATCATTTTTGCTCTCAAATACTGACAGTCTTGTGTTCACCAGTTTCCCCTCTAACTTCTTTGTCTTGAGAAATGCGTCTTGCAGAAAAACATCATCTTTGTTGAAAACATCATCCACTGTAACATGTGATTTTTAACTCATTAGCTGTGTTGTTTTAAAATCAACTTCTTATTAGCATAGCAGTTGTGTATGTCCTGCTTATTGGAGACCCTAATTTTATTGTAGCAACAGAAGGCCAGCGCAGCAATGTCATTTAAACAAGTCTGGTTTTATTTCATTAGCAATTAATTTCAACTAAAATTCTAACATGGGGGGGAGTGGATTCCTAAGTAATTTAAACTATTATATTTTTTGGCATATGTTCAAGTTCTGCAAAAGTTACAGTAAGGAGGAATATGCTAAAAATGCATCCAAAGGTTACACGTTGCTTTCTCAGCTTTGTATCCACACTTCTGCCAGCCTTTCTTCCTTTAATAAAAGGTGAACTCTTGCAGAACTGGAGTGTACTAGATGGTGCTGCAGGGGCAAGTTCCTACACATCAAAGCAGATCATAAGGCAGGGGAAAGGGCTGAGAGAGGCAGACTTACATTTTTCCTTGACACCTCCCTTATTTATGGTTGGTGGCTGCAGTTGCTGTTACAACTGGAGGTCTATTTTGTGAGCAAGTTAAAACCGTTTGATGTCACTGAAGAGACAGGAGCTGTAACCACATCTGGCTCTTCTTAGGGGTGCCTGGGCAAAATTCACTGTGCCCTTAGGAGGTGTGGCAGCACCTCGCACCTGCAGCACCGCTCCAAACTTCAGCTTTGTTGCTGCTGGGGGCTCGTGTGACTCAAATGGCCCCCAGACTCAGGATCAGGTCATAAGTAAAAATCAACCACCACCTAGTGTAGTTTCTAAGGGACACGTACTCAGGATAACAGTCTACATTGATATCACTGGGAATTTTCTTACTACTTTTCAAAAATTGGAGCTCATCTTTAAGATGTGCTAGTAATTGTTTTGCCTTCTTCGTGTCTAAGAGTCTTTTAGGTCCTATCTATCTCTTAGACTACAAGAATTCCAGGAAGGTAGAAAGAGGGGGGAGAAAAAATCCCATGCTCACCCTGTGTTGGTTTATTTTTAACAGAGATATCCTTGGATGAGTGCTCCAATTCAAGTTGGATTAGTTGGATTCTGGTAAGTGACTTCTTTAAATTATGTCTGCTATTTTATGAGAGTTGCAGGTTTTTTTGGAGGAGGTAGCAATATTTGCACTTTGTTTAAAGAAAAAGAAAGTTGAGAGAGTTAGTGAAGCTACAGGAGTTACTTCACTTTCGTATCTGTAACTGATAATACCATATTAAAAAAAAAGTAGCAGCTGTTAGTAATGAAAAAGCTGCCAAGAAAAGCAGAGGGAGGGAGAAAGAAAGGGAGTGGCAAAAAAAGGCATGTAGCAGCTTGATTAGAAGAGATGCTTTGGCTGCTACCTCCATAAAGAATAATCAGTATCTAATCCTGTAGGTTGATGAATTCTTGAAACACTTGGTTAATGGAGTTTCAGCTGCTGTTGTCTAGCACTTTGTTGTCATACACACCAATGCAAAACACTGAAGTAACATCAAATGATAATTTTATATACATTTGCAAGCATGGTAATAATGCATTTAGTACTACATAGTAGGTAAATGATTTCATAAGGTATAATGCAGTGAGAAAGAGAGGTTACATAGCACTTCATGGAACTTTACCTCACTGTATACAAAAATAAAAAGCTTTCTGCTGGGAAGACTATGCCTAAGGGCTTTGAATTTTCTTTTAGCACCCTAATATTGTCAACCCATTTTTGTCTCCTCTAGTCTCGTGTTTGCAACACCCCTGTGTTGTGCGCTGTTTCCTCAAAAGAGGTATGTATTCCTGTTACATGATTCTTACTTTAATGTTACACTCCCAGATGCAAGCTGCTGCAAAAAGACAGAAACAAGTGGTCGTTGCCTCCTGGAGCATACAGTCATCATTCCCATATAACAAATGTGATAAACATGAGAATATTCAAAAAAGCAATAACCATGTTACTTGTCAGCAATATACAATAGTTTACAAACTCCTAGCAGCTTGAGATGCAGCTCCAGAAGAATAGTGAACAAGAGGTTTAGGTGAGTAGTTGAACCATGCTATTTCAAGCTGAAAAGTTTAAGTTTGATAATACAGCGTTAAGAATCACAGAAATGATTCATTAAAAAGGCTAACATGGTACAAACAATACATTCATGTCCAGTAATGTTATGGCTTCATTAGATACAGTCAGATCCCATTTTATTTTCAGCTGGAAACACCTCTGGTTATACAGAACAGCACTTGACTATTAATATTTTTCCAGAAAGAATTTGTCATCAATACACAGATAGCTCTGTACTGCAAGCAGTCTTAGAAACAATCATTGTAGCTTAAATTATAATGAAACCTGGATGGGTTTATGTACAGAGTCAGCTAAATTTTCAGTATGTAGTATGAACACAGGCTTAAATTCAACAAAGCTACCCTCCTCATAGTGTTAGTGGTTGTCTGAACTTGACAAGCTGCCAAGTGTAGCTTAAACAATGCAAGCTGGAGCTGAATCCGTTAAAATATTAAATATTGAGCAACTAAAGTAGCTTTTGACTTCCAGAAAACAATACCTAATTCTCATCCAATGCAATAATTTGAGTACAACAAAGCAGCTGTGACACTGTTTCCCTGCCTGACACGGAGTAGAGAGTTGTAGTAAATGAGTGTCACTAGGCTACCTGGAGATGACTTTACAAACTGGCATAGCAAGTGTGGTACAGGTCTTTAGTTTAGCCACAGCTAAAATATATCACAGGAAAATTAGACCTGAAAGGGTATTTAAGAAATTGCAGCTGTTTCAGTCACCTAGCAGATTAATTCCTACCCTCATGGTAGTAGCAACAACTATTCGTGACTGGGTAGGCTTACTGGTCTTTTAAGCAAGGATTCATTTGCCCCTGTCTGTGAGCACGATTCCTTCACAAGAAGCTAAAAAAGAACTCTAAAAACTCTTTTCACAATCCAGGAAGTTTGACTGGATGCATTGTCCATCTTATTTTACATTCAAGTGCTTGTTATATGTAACCATTTTACTGTTTCTTTTGCTTAGTTCTATGTCTGTAACACGCTTGGAGCCTGAACTGCAAGCCAAGATCCAGGAGAACAGACGTGACCTAGAACGAGTATACTTTAATAAAGGATTATAATTCAAGGAAGGGAAAATACCTTTTGAGGAGAATCTTGCGAACTTATTTTTAATTATGTGCCAACATAGTTGAAGATGTTAAACAACTTTGTCATCTGCTTTATTTTATATTTAAAGAGTTTCCTCGTTGTATTGTTTAAATCACAAAAGGTCATTTTGTTGACTTTGGTATCAATTAAAAGTTTAACCATACATATCCAAAAATGTTTACATAAGCTCTCAAGCAGCTACCGTAACAATAAACAAGCACACAAAGAAAAATAGATGCCTTTATATTGGATTCGACACCTGTTCCCAGTAATAGTGGAGCAGGGATCTCTGTGAAAAGTCACTGAGCAACTGAACGTAGTTGCCACCCTCTGCCAGCAGCAGGACGACTGGCTGAACATGACAGAAGGTTGTGCAGGAAGGGCTTTTTACCAGGAGGTTGATTAGGTTGTAGGTTTTCCCTGTTGGCACAGAACCGTTTCTTTAAGGTAGATGGTGGAGCCGCCTGGAGCTTCTGCACAGTGTGGTACTGCTCAGCAATACAAGCTGCTTTCTTCCGCAGGTCGAGCTTCACCAGCATCATGTTGTTCTGTAGTTCTGCCAGCGTTTGGTCCTGAGAAAGGGAAGGCAACATATATATAAAAAGATATGATGAGTTGCCTAGCTCCCTGGTTACTGTGAACTGAAAAGAATAAACGGCCTTTGCCAAAATTCACTAACTGGTGCGTTAAATAAGGCCACGCATAACAACTTCTGCTGTCAAGTGTAGCGATTCAATAACAAAATAGGGACAGTAATGCTAGGAAAAAGCTGAATCCATCGTGCTGCAAACAGACTGCCATAGCAACTGTGATAGAGCAAAGTGGATAAGGAAATGAGAACTCTGAATTCTCCTACTTTAGGTGCAGGCTTTCAGTTAAATGCACAGGAACAGTTTGGGTCTCCTTTGGAGTGTTACATATGCAGTCTGACTCAGCCACTGAAAAAATTAGCAATATGTCTCCCTTAATGTAATAGAGGATAGGCATCTAGAGAGTAAGTCATTTTTATTTGCAGCTGCAAGATCTTAGGTTATTCTGATGATGAAGGCCAATTGCATAGACTGAATCCCCCTGCAACCCACAACAAAACAGACAAGTTACCTGTCTAGTCAGAATGTCATCACAGGTACAGAGGGCTTCTCGAAGTTTCCCTGCACTTGTACTGTGGCAGCACGCCCTCTCTGCAGACTGAAGAGACTCCCCAAGTTTTTGTAGTTCTGAACGCAGCAATCTGACATTCTACAGGAGAGAGAGATTTAGTCCAACAGCTTGCTTTGACATTGCTCTGCAAACAAAGCCATTCTAGAGTCATGCAGACATGCAGTACTACAGGAGGATCCCCTCTGAGTGAGGCACACTGGAATCATAGAGACCAACACCTTCCACATCTCTAAGTTTGTTTTCAACAGAGCCATTTCAACTTGAACCATTTGTTTAACAACCTGGAGACAGCAGTTCCAAACACTGTTTAAACTGACAACTATTTTGCCCTGCAAACATTCCTTTCTATAACACAGAGCTGGAGTTACCTTTTGTCCATCCTCCAGCTTCCTGTCTACATCCATAGTAATGGGTTTGGCAGAGGGAGGCGGCTCCAGTAATTTCTGGTACTTGCACAACTCTAGGAAAAGACAAAAAGCAGTGAGCAACAATGCAGTCATAAGCTTCTAGTTTTTCTGAAGTCAGGACTTCCCTCAAGACAAGCTGCCACAGGCAAATCAAGAAAAGCTTTGAGTTTGTGCAGGCATGCACAAACATTCCAGGCTGCTTCCTTTCAGTTACACAAAGGGATTTTAGGATTTGAACAGGAAGATGGATGCTGCCCTAAAGTCCATTTTCACATGAAAATGAAGTGAAACCCTGTCCACCCAGCACATTACTCCCATCATCTACAACTCTAGAATTGTTGTTTCAGGATGTCTGAGTCCAGTGTATCCTACTGAAAAAAATGAAAAAAGTATCACTAACCCTCTGCAAGGATTGCTCGGATAGAGTTAAGAGCCAGTACAGCATCAGTGCCTTACCTGCATTTGCAGTGTTTAACTCCATTTGACATTGCTCCAGTTTGGCTTTAGTGTCTGCCAGTTCCTGCTGCAGAGTGCAGGAGGTGGCCACTCGCTTGGATCGACGCAAGCCTTGCCCCGAGTCTTGCCCCTTTTGCTTAGTATCCAGGTTCTCCAATTTTTGTTTTGCCTCCTGCAGAGCAACTTGGAGCTCCTCGATCTTCTCATCACGCTCCTTAAAAAAGCAAGTTTGTTCAAATATTCAAACAAGATTTTCTTAACACAGCTTTTCTTAAACTTTCAATGTCTGTCTTCCAAGAGACTCTCTCTTCACACATTTCACATGTTGGACCCAGCCTTTAGTGTCTTTTAACTGAAAACAGTGAACCTATTTCCTGGGAGCCTAAACCACTTTTTTCCCCAGCCTCTATAAAGAAGAAATTTTTTGGAAGTTGGCATCTTCTCAGAGGTCTGCAACAAGTGCCAGAGGCTATTCAAATGCCATAGCATGAAAAGGCCTATACCCATCATCATAACTAAAGAAGAGAAATTCACATAACTTGTGTTAATCTGAAGAGTGCAAAGCAAGCCACTAGTGAAAAGAGTAAAAGAGGAGAGAATCATGCTGAACAAATACAGGAGTCGGAATGGCTGCACGTTATCTTCTAGATTAAAGGCTGAAAATTAGAAAGGCTAGTGAGTTACATAAAGCAGTAGACAAGAAGCAAAAATTGCAGATCACACTATTAAATATCATCACAAAAAAAATACGACAAAAAGAGAAATTGGAAACTGAGAGGAAGAAAATAAGCCACTTTCCTGGACTCAAGTACCCTGAGCCCTGCTCCCAACCCACTGCCACTTTCCTGATGTCATTCCATTGCCCTGAACAAACCTGGATCTCCTCCTGGTAATAGTCGGTTAGTGACTCCTTCAGGTTATTCAGTTTATTCTCATACAGTTCCTCCAAGATCTGCTCCTGAGAGTCCACATACTGGCTACAAAGAGAGCAAACACCTACGTGTCAGGGTCCAGCAGTTCTTGGTACTGCAGCTCACCCTGAACAGAGAGAGATCAGCGTAAGCTGTACCTGCACCACTGCTCCTTCTGTTGCATGTGCTCCCACATCTCATTGCAGATCTCCTCACGGAGACGCATTTCTAGCTGCAGCTTGTCCCGCCGCTCTTGCACCAGCAGCTCTCGTGCAGCTTCCACTACACGCAACAAATCCTGCAAGGACACAAACTCCATTGCACACACACTTCACAAGGGAATTCAGAGCTAGCAGCAGCTAGCTGATGCCATATCAGTAGGCTGAGGCAATCTAGGTTTAGATTCTTTTAGTCACTTGGAAAAAGAAGTTGCCAGGATTGCTTAGTTCCTCCCCCATGAGATGGCTTGAATGTTGCACTCCAGATGGAGCTGTCTCCAGAGCAGCTTCCCCTACTGCACTGCCCAAGGCTGCACCTGCATTTGCTACCTTGACGCATTACAACTCAAGTCTCTATAGGTATAGAGCTTCCATCTTCATCTTTCAGCTATTCCAGCTAGCCACTTTGAGTATCTAGGAAGTTGGATTGTTTTTCCTCAATTGATTTAGCCATTTGTTTTCTATGTTTTCTGCTAGATTTCCCTGGTAGAGTAGGGATTATAGATCTGCACCCAAGCTCTTACTGTCCCTGTACCATAGATGACAAAGTGGAATTTGATTCAGCTTTCAGATTTAGACCAACTGTGGAATGGCTTCCTCATGGATTCCCAATTTCCTGGGTCCTATATCCTTCTGAAGATCTGTCATCTCTTGGTCCAGTGCTGAGCTCCAGCCACACTTCCAGGCTAAAGCTAACAGTCATGTTCTTGTCCCTTTATCCATAAAGGCTGCAAAAGAAGTCACAACCCACCTCCTTCTCATACATGGTGACATCTGCTTCATCCTCACTTTCCTCTTCTGATTCCGTTTCTTCCTTTGCGGCTGCCTCTAGACCCTGGCTGGTTCGCCTGCTGTGCTCTTTGATGATTGATTGGATGGATGGAAGTCTCAGCTTTGAGGGAGGCACCTGAACAAGCTGTAGAGGAAAAAGCCATCAGTACTAGTCCACAAAGACTGGAAGTTGTAGTCTTTAAACATAGTACTTCTCTGCAACCTATCAATCCTTCCAATTTAGCAGAATCTGGAGATAACTTTAAAGCTAATAATTCACTGGAGAAGCACAGGGAAGGCTTTCAAGAATTCCCCCCGTCTTGTGATGGAAAGGGCCCATTCTGATGTACCCTGAGCATGCTATGATCCCAGCATGTGCTACTTACCTGGCTGGCAATGGCTGAGAACTTGGCTACATGAAGAGTTTCATCATATGTAGATGCACACTGATTAATGTTGACAATCATGCAAGAGCGCCCACGGCCAGTGAAGAAACCCTGGAACACACGCGTTAGCTTGCTGTCCCGGAAGGGAACCACAGTCTGCTTCACTCTGTGGGGAGAGACAAGAGTGAGCCCGTGGGAAGGTCAGACAGTCTCCCCACACACTCCCTATGAAGTTCTGGGTACTCACTTGGACTGCTGGTTCTGGCGCAGGGCAGCGATGCAGCGACCCAGTGTGTGGAGGGAGGTATTGATGTTACTTGCTTCTTTCATTCGGTCCCCGCTTTTCTGGGCTTTGCAGCGCTCTGACCCAGCAAGGTCACACAGGGATAACCTGAAGAACACACAGGCAATACTCACATGACCCACTAGGTTTGTCCTGTTCTATCCAGGTTTACAACTCCCACACCCTGGGATCACCTACCCTGCTCACCCTCCCACCTTCTGCATACGGGCACAGAAGGCTCTTTTGGGGTGTATGGACTGTTGCTGAACAGAAAGGTCTACCCTAAATGTAGGTGTTACACAAGATAACACTAACATGAGCTTTGCAGTGTTAAGTTCAACAATCCTTTATCAGTCCTTGGGAAAGCCACTTCCCAGGTATCGAGCCAACCTATTTTGAGATAACCACATTCCTGGAACAGGCATCAGCAGCACTTAAATCAGCCCTGCTGCAAGGGCAGAGTTGCTTATATTTACCTTCACTCAAAAAGCCTGAGAACTACATCAAGTTGTACTTTGCAGTTCTCCTCACAAACTCCTCAGGGAGTTCCAAGTCTTAAGAGTAGGAACATTTACTCCTTCCAAGTACTTTCAACAATATCTTCATCAAGATACTTCCCATACCCACAACAAGACAGAAAAGTTGAGCCCACAGAGAACAACCCCAAATCCTAGAGAGGATAAAACTTACTCGCTGATTTTTGGAACAACTGAGTTCCAAGTCTTAAGAGTGGCAACATTTAGTCCTTCCAAGTACATTCAACAGTACCTTCATCAAGATACTTCCCATAGCCACAACAAGACAAAAGTTGAGCCCACAGAGAACAATCCCAAATCCTAGAGAGAATAAAACTTACTCGCTGATTTTTGGAACAACTTCACTGCCACCTCTTTGCAAGTGCAGAATCCGAATGGAGAAGACACTGTGACTGTAAAGAAACATGCAGATATTTTAAAAGGGAAATGCAACCTTTAAAAGCCCTTCAGAATTGTAGTTCTGCCTAAGCAATCCCTCTCCTCCTTCAGACCTGCGACTGGAGTTCTGATTCATCTGGGTGGTAGCAAAACTCTGATTTTTCCGACCCAGTTTGAGAAGTTTCCAGGCCTCATCAGCATCACAGACATTGATCCAGTTCAGATCTGGAAAAGCAGGCGCACATTGGGCAAGGCAGTTAGGAGACCGGCAGAAAAATAATTATCTCACCATTACATTTCCTTGACATCAACAAACTTAACATCCCATAATCCAGTCAGAGACCTCTGAGGGTCCATACAGGACATCATGCTCTCCAACACATCACTGCTAAGCCACCCATCCCACCTCAAGTCTCCTTCAGGTATGATCCACCTAGCAGGCCACTAAAAACATCTTTCAAGGAAATCTACCTTTCACATAGGGGTTGCCAGTCTGGTCTTCACAGAGCCGCAGTGTCTGCCTCTTGCGGTTCTGACCAGGTGGAGCTTGTTCTAACAAGTCATAGATAAACTCATTGTAAATCTCAAAGAAGGAGACCCAGATGGAGAACTGCACATCTCCTGTGTTGGTGAGTGAAATACGATCCAAGTCAGCCCAGCGAGGGCCCAGATCTGGGGAAAAGATAGAGAAAAGAAAAGTTATGATTGCAGCTTTTCACAGGTCCAACCTGTATGGTTCAGCTGTAGACTGAGGTATCGCTTCAGCAGGTGCACTACCCCAGACTCAAATCTATTCTATATACCTCCTTCCATTTGGACCTACACTCAAGCCAGCCTGAGTCAGACAGCCTGAGGTTTCCTTTGAGAGCATCCTCCTTCGTGTAAGGACTTTTTATATATAGAATGTTACAAATAGGAACGCTCCCCGTTGTTAGTCCTTGTTACCTCAGTCAGTCCATGCTTCTGGATACCTAATCAGCTAGTGGTTCCTAGATTTGAAAGTCTGAGCACAAGTGCTCAGTGCAACACAGCCCTTCAGCACCCTGCCTCCCAGCTCCCCACAGAGATCTTCAGCCTCAACATTCGTATCTTTCAAAGGGAAAGTTGTGAGACTACAGCACCTTTACTCCCTTACCCACAAAGCAGCATCTAAATAGCTGTTGCCCTTTCTCCCCCCATCCTCGAACAAGCAGCAGGTAGTACACAGCAGGCTTCCAGACATACCTTCTGCCTGACTGATGTCTGAATGGTTGGTGAGTTGGCTAGATGAAGAGAGGCCAGCAACTCCACTGTCAAAACTGCCACTGGTGGTGGCGTGGAGCTGAGATTCGGCACTATGACTCCTCTTCATTGGTGTTAACAGCTCCTCCTGGAAGGAAACATGAGCATGTAGTAGGGCACCATCTTTCCCCTGTTATTGTTAAACCTCCAAGAAGCCACATGCTTACCTCCCACTGACCCCCTCGCAGCATGGTCTGCTTCTTGACCTCTTCCTGCCGCACCTGCCTGCTGTCCAGCCAGATCACCTCACTGGAGAAGGAAGGCTTCAGATCCATGGCTTGGTACAGCTGGTCCCCCACGCTGTTGAAGATGACCGCTAAGGAGCGAGGCAGAATCCCCCCATCTTTGTTGCTGCCTGAAGCAAGAACAACAGCAGCAAGCTGAGGATTCACAGGTAGCAGCAGCCAATTCCCTCCATAGGCTACTAACCCCTAGTGCTTTCCTTACCCTGAATAGTGTGAGTCTTCCCTGAATTGGTGATGCCATAGGTGTAAACCAGCCAGTTCTGTCCATTCAGTACATCCTTTACTACCTGCTTCATTGTCTCATCAAAGAACGATTTCTGTCCCACTTCTGGTCCAAAGATCTGCAAACAAGACACTTGAGAAGTGGCCTCATGTAGATCTTTCCTATCTTTTAACTACTGATGGTCATTCAAGCCATACTACGTAGTAGTCCTGTGTTCCTTCCACTACCCCCACATCATAAGCAACAGAGCCACCAGTAAGTCCAGTCCAAGTCCTCTACAAAAGCAAGCTGTTCACTTGCTTAATCCATTAACCTCTGATATCCTACAGTCTCTAGTGTGTTTAGAGCTTCATGAATAAAACAAGAGTTTGGCATTTGCTGCTGAAAAAGTTGCCAGGATCAGCTTAAAAAAAAGAAGAACTAAGGAAACAGCAACAGAAGAATTTTACTTGAAAGGATTGTACGGTACTACATAGCTCACACAGTGCATTGGAATCAGTGGGTATTAGTAAGCCAGCTTTTAAAGATGTAAGGCTTGTTTAAGCTTGAAAAACTTCCAGATGGATTGTTTGTCCCAGCTACCTACCTGGGTGAAAGAGAATCTGTGTGCTGCTTGTCCCACTCCGCGTTCTGTGCTCCGCATGGTGAAGGAGTCCTTCGGGGCTTTGAGAAGAAGGGTCTCCGAATTCTCAATGCAGACACAGCCCTAAAGAATAAGTAAAACTCCATCATCACAATGGCCTTCAAGAGGCCATAGCACAGACAGCAAAGGATAGCAGCATCTTCCAGCAGGCACACAGGCAACTATCTCAGAGACAACTTCATTCAGTGTCTCACCTGGTCTTCCCCTTTTTCCAATTCTGTAGGTTTCAGGGGTCGAACTCTCAGATACACCTTTAGTTTTCCATCATTGTCTTCAGCTACAGCCTGCAAAATTAGCACAAGTTAAACATGGGAGCCAGAAAGGCAATACACAACCATTCATCAGAACACTAACAGCAACCACAACTGGAACACACACTACCTTGACTTGTGCTCAGTAACTAATGGACACTTCTCTGACCCCAAAATTCCAAGCAATGCCAGAAGCTTTCTTAGGCATTTCCAGGGACACCAGCATTCCTTTTAGTTTATGTAGTGAATCAGACCAACAACCTGAAGCCTTTGACACCAAAGCCAGTCTCCAGACTAAGTGCCACACAAAGAGGCATTGTGTTAAGAGGCAATTACTGACTGTGCCCTTCATAGTACACTGCTCATAACAAGAACTGCTCCCCTCAATGCAATGTTTTATTCTAGCTTCTTCTGAAGGGCTTCTGTTGGCTCTGCATCACAATACCTTTGTAAAGAAACACAGCAGTCAACTCAAAACACTGCCCTGTTTGTGACAGAAGAGCTCCAACCTCACCTGCTGGGATCCCTCCATATTGGGAGAGATGGCAGAGAACTCCGACAGCAGGTCCTTGCGCACATCAGGCCCAAACCCTGTCGCTGTGGATTCGAGAACAGGGGAGGCTGCAACATCTTCATCTGAGAACAATCCTGGTGAGGCAAGTGCTTTTGCCATGGTGTGTCACACAGCTCCTGGAGATAAAGGGGCACAGTGAGGACAGGGCAATGTTAGAACAGTCTGCCAGGAGTCCCAGCTCCACTCCCCACACATACACCCCACTACAGCCTGCCACCACTACCATATCCACCCATTGCTCACAAAAATAAGCATAAACTGCCCCCGAGAAGCCTCCCTACGCACACACACGCGGGGGGCAGCTGCAAACGCACACACCCCCACCGACCACACTTACACAAACGGACCATCCGCGCTGAACCCCTCCGTGCGCAGACACCATCACATCCCCCCACACCACATGGGACCCCCCCCTAAGCCCCACCCGTATCCAACCCACCACACGGCACCCCCTGAGGCCGCCCCGGACAACGCCAACCCCAGAGACCATCGCGCGGGGGCCCTACCCGCACACGGACGGACTGCCGCACCGGCTCTCCACACACGCACGAAATGGCGGCCGCCACCGCTCCCCCCTTCCCGTCGGGGTATCCCTACGGAGCCGCGGTGCGGCCTCCGCTTCCCACACAGACCCGGCCTCTCAGCGGCCCGCTCCCGCTGCTCCGCCGCCGCCTCGCGCCCACCTCGCGGCCGCCCAGTACCTACTGTTGGGGTTTCAAACCTCGCCGCCCGCCCGCTCCGCCAATGAGAACCCGCGCTCGCCCGGCCGCCAATCAGAGCCCGCCGTGGCGCAGAGGGGGCGGGGCCTCAGCGCTGTGGACCCCGCCCCCGCCGCCGGCGCGCTCGGGGACGGCGGAGGGGGCGCGCGCGTGAGCCTCCCGGCGGGCTTTGCGCGCCGCTCCGCCCCGCCTCCCTCGGGCCGGGCGGGGAAGATGGCGGCGGGAACGGGCAG